ACCACCAATAAAGCTATATCACGGCCATAGTCTTCCGCTAGATATGTGGTGTAAGACTATGCCCCTTGGGCCATAATTGTAAGACCTTATTTCTAGATATCAATAAAGCTCAGAACCTTTTATTATATATCTATGAACCATTTTTGTGTTTTGTGCGTATTTGTGCGTAATCCTGGCACAAATATAGATGCACCTAGGACTCTCAAATTGAGGGGCTGACACCTACGACGTAGATTCATCACCGAGGAGCACATGCCGTCAAACATGGGCGTCGTGCTGATTGACCTGTATTAGTTGTATGGTTGTATGGTTGCATGGATGTGAACAAATGTACTCCTGGATTTCTGATACCTCCAACTGTATTAGTCGCTTTACAACCATTTAGTGGAGGCCATGCTCCAATAACTTCCAACGCCTGCATCGAGGCAAAGGACAATTCAGCAGACAAATGACCAATGCATTGTAGGTTCGTACGTTTTTTAGGTACCGTCACTTCAACGAAGGAATCACAGTATACGTATATGGACGTAGCCTTTGCAGTGAGTTGTCACTTCATCGTTATTTAGGCTTTGCAACGAGTACTCACATCAACACAACAAGAACCGTACTGAATCCACATTCGCCACCTCAAAACTCTTGCGACGTCTAGCTTTGTATGCTTTTCAGTGAGTTTTCATGTCACCATTGTCTAGCTTTGTAGCCTTGCAAGTGGGTTCAATGGGTGGATCAGAAGTTTCTAGCATGGCTAGGAAATCTCCCATAGGAGGTGGAAACCAAAGGCCAATACAACGTGAAGATGACTCAGGAGCACGAGATGGTCCACAAAATTAGGGAGGAGCAAGAGCGGTGCGTTAGGGTCGACCAAATCCATCTGAAGGGGAAGGAGGATGACCTTGCTAGGAGGAGGGAGCAGTTAAGTATGCATGAAGCAGCCATCAAGCGTCAGGAGCAAGAGCTCAAAATCCGGGAAGCAGCTCTCAAGAACAAGAAGGATGCAGCGGAACCATCTTCAGGGCGTGACAGAAAAGGGAAACAACCACGCTGCACCCAGTAGAACAACGTAATAGACCCAACAAGTTAAATTCCCTAAGGCATGTTAGGACTAGTGGTGGACCTCTGAACATTATAAGTACAGAGTTCCACACATGCTATTGCAAGTCGTCCTTTGTTTACTTTCCCTAAGGCATGTTAGGATTAGTGGTCGGACTACTTACCTTAACTACCTATAGTTCCACACATGCCATTTAGTATTGCAGGTTTGGTCCATGTACCGCGCTGGGTTAATATTAGAATGTGTTTGCCTTCAAAATTTTGTAAGGTTCCTTAGGTTATGGTGCGTATGTTTATATGTCCGGAAAAGGAGAGCAAATGTTTTTAGTGTTGCAGTGATAAAGTTAGTTTTCTATCGGGTGATGGATTTGTTCGAAAAAGAGCTCATATCGGGTCATAAAGCATGAAATAGTGTAATTGGGTGACAGGCCTGTCGGCTGCTACTGTCGGCCTCCCCAAAGCCGATAGGGCCTGTCGGCCTTCCAGCTGCTGACAAGTTTGCTATCGGCACCGACAGGCCAGCGTCGGCTGCCACATCACCCCTATCGTCTGCTGAGGTGCCGACATGGGACCTGTCGGCCTTCTAGAGGTCGACAATGTCCCTGTCGGTTCCCAGTGACCGACAGGATGTTATATCTACAATTTTTGTATAACAGCTTCTAGATTTGCAATTATTCATTAAAAATATGATTTAAAAAAAATCAGCAGCTGCATGGCCATGGCGGCCGGCGAATGCTAGGCACGAGGGTCATTTGGGTTTTAGCGTGGCGCGGCATCTCTTATATATATACATGCAGGGATCGATCACGGCGGTGTCCCCTCCGAGATGCCTCCTTGTCTACATAAAAAAAGCATCCGGTGATCTGGAACTAGAAGGCTACTTCGAGTCCTTCCAAATCCATGGCAACAGTTGCCTTCTTATGTAACTATCTTCCATATCGGCGTGGTTAAATTATATGCCAAGATATGAAGAGGACCTAACAGATATGACAAATCAAACTCTCATTGGCCATTCACCGACGCTAGATCGAATGCCATTAAGGTAGAGAGAGGTCGCATAAACCTTATTTCAATGCACCATCATCGTCACCTCCTCGTTGATAATGCAAGAAACCAAAACCTAGATGAACAAGGATCATCAAAACCTAAATCTACAAAGAGATGTACCTTAGGAAACTCTAATAAGGCTCCGATCTAAACGTTTCACCACAAAGAAGCTAAGAAAAAATTCCTAGCATCGAATCAAGTTGAGATTCCAGGTCTATCTGAATGAAAAAAATTAAACGGGCCCACTCTCTATGTTGTCACCATCAACACACATAGAGAATAGAGTGAGGAACCGGTCGAAGATGATGCAATGCAATTTGTTTTCGTTTAGGGCCTGTTTAGTATGACTCCAGCTCCGACTCCGACAACTCTGGAGGAGCCATATAAAACACTTTAGGAGGAGGAACCACTTTTTGTTGAACAGTAGAAAAGCCAGAATTATTTTTGGGTCTGGAAGAGGAGTTGCAATTTGTGGCGCCTCCACAAGTGCTCCGACTCCTCTTGAGGAGCACTTGAGGGAAAACCATACCTAAGAAGTTCTTATTGTTGTTGTGTTGTAGGATCCACTTAGGGGAATACATAGAGCTCCGTGGATGATATGGCATTCTATAAAGTTAGTTTTATGCCCTTATTAGGATATGAGGTTGCATTGGGTGAGGTAGGGATTTAGTTGTTAGTTGTGTGGCACTTTCAATTCGAATTCTAGGAATGAAATGCTTAAGGAGCAAGAAGCTTGAGCTGGACACATGACATATGGATTATGCAGTGCTTCAATAAAAACATTGCAACAAATGGATTTAAATATACTCCAATAACTAGAGAAATTGTCTTCAAGATTTTGTTAATAAAAAGGTATTAATTAATAACCTACAGTATAGTGACATCAAATGCTTGCTATATTGAGGTCGAGTTAATTTGGCATTCCTCCACCCAAAAATCCGTGCATGATTTGATGTGTTAATAAAGTAAGTGTTTAATCAAATTTATTCAAATTGCTTAATGAATATCTTGGCTGTCCCATAGCTCTAGCTCCAAGAAATTTTGGAGCTAGACCAGCTCTAGCATCCTTAGGCTTTGCTAAATTGATGGAAAAACAACTTAATAAGGCCTATTTGACACAACTCTGGCTCTGAAATCTATTGGATCTGTTGTTTGTAGATTAAATTAAAGTGGTTTATATATTTTTATAATATAAAATATAAACAAAATAAGTCATATGACTGCACTTAACATGCATGTAGCTTTAGATCCATGATTTCCTAGAGTTACAAGTGACAAGCTCTAAAAAAATCCACAGATTACCTAGAGCGAGAGCTTTGCCAATCAGAGACTAAGCTGATTAATTCTCCAGCTCCTGGAAGCTGGAATACGTTCAGTGTTGGTTATACTAAGGTGTCACGAATTTTCTTAGGATAATTGTCTGTTGGATATTCAAAGTGATGGTTCTTCGTTGACGGATATTCACTTTAGAGCATTTTGCCAGAAGACACTCTGGTTCGGTGAAATTAGGCCATAGAACACCGCGGACCAGTTGCACCCGGTTGAGGAGAGAGAACAACGGTGAAATGACATTCTCGCCCCGCGCTTGCTTTTCTCTCTCTCTCTCTTTTTTTTTTTTTCATTTTTTCTGTCCCTCTGATGGGCGCGGTAATGAGGGGCGACACTGGGGCGGCAAGTACAAGGAGTGCATGTGCAACCACTTGGCTGGCTGACCATGGGCGGGCAAGCCTTCGACCAGTGCGGCAAGTACATGGCCTCCTCGTCGGACTTCGCTCAAGTCTGCGTGACTGCGGGTGCCACCGCAGCTTCCACCACCTGCGCCGCCTTTGGCGCCGCAGCTCTGGCGCCACCGGGCTCGTCGTCTGACGCTGCCGCCCATCTTCTTCCGCCGGCCCGACGCCGCTTTGCGCTTGCGGCATTGCGCCGGGCGTGAGGGCATGACGGCAAAGACACTTCCACCACCACCACCTCCACCGGGCCCAGCGGCCGCCGCCGCCTGCTGAGCCTTGTTCCCGTCGTTGGTGCCACACCGCCACACCTCATGCCGCCGTACCACGCCGTGCCCTAACGCCGCCGTTGCCGCCTCGCCCCGTGGTTTCGACACGCATGCCGACTCAGACGCCTTTGCAGCGCACGGGCGACCTCGGCATTGCGCGTCGGCGTCGGTTTCGTGCCCGGAGCCTGGGGTAGTAGGCGGCGGCGGCTTCGGGCGGAAGCGGTTCCGGACCAAGTTCACGCCCGAGCAGAAGGAGCGGATGCGCGAGTTCGTGGAGAAGTAGGGCTGGCGCATCCAACGGAACGACGACGGCGCCCTGGACCGCTTCTGCGATGAGATCGGGGTCAAGCGCCAGGTGCTCAAGGTGTGGATGCACAACCACAAGAACCAGCTCGCCTCCACCTCTGCCGCTGCCGCAGCCACGGGCATCGGCATCGGACCGACACGCCCGCACCTGCACCTCCGGTTCGTTGCTTCACCGGCAGCCAGGGGCTCGTGCTGCCGCCGCGGGCATTGGCATGGCACTCATAGCTTTGACGCGACAACGCCCTTTGGTTTGCTTGGTAGGAGACCAGTCGTTCCTCCGCACTGCAGTTTGCTTGAACTGCGGGGACATAAAACAGAAAAAGAGAAAGGGAGAGAGGAAGAAGAAAAGCGGCAGGGGTAAGAATATCATTTCACCGTTGTTCTCTCTTTTTAACCGGCTGCAACTGGTCTGCGGTGTCCCATGACCTAATTTCACCGAACCAGAGTGCTTTCTGACAAAATACTCCAAAATGAGTGTCCACCGACGAAGGACCATCCCTTTGATGTCTAACCGACAATTGTCCCATTTTCTTATCATATCTAATCGCTTCCTTTTCATATCCGGCGGACTCTGCTTGCTCAACACTTGAGAGCCGCTTCTTCAGATCTCCCCAGTGATGAAATGGTGATTGATCATCTCCTCGTCCCCATCGAATGTCTTCAGAAATTCCATCTCGTCCAAACTGCTCATCGACGATTCGCCACGGCAACCTGCACGAATGCATGGAGAGCCAACGCATTAGATGATAGACGTTGCCAGTGCATCAGGGTTGCATTGAATGGGATGCTGTGTGGCTAGCAGTAGCAGAGACACCTACCGTGGCCGTGATGCGGTTGCGGTGACTCCTCGCTGTGCGAGACGGCGCACGCGGCGAGTGAACTGTCCCGGCTTGGCGAGGCCAGGCACGGCGACTCCTTGAATCGCTTCGCCATCGTCTGCATCCCGAGGGGCCATCCGGCGGCCCGGCGAGGACGCGCCGACGAGGGCCGCGAGTCCCTGCACTCGTCGCAGTGCATGGCGGCGGCCTCGATGATCTCCTCCTGTCTGTCGTGGAGCCACTCGTCAAGGCTAGGCGAGGGAGGCGGCGGCGGGGACGGCGACCGCGACCGCGACGTGCCGCGCCGGAGCGTGTCCTTGCAGTACGAGATGGCGCGGGCCACGGACTCGGACCTCTCGCGGGCCGTGTCGTCAACGGCGGCCGTGGATGACGGTAACCCCTTACCGTCGCTCCTGGCCTTCCTCAGTCTCATCGAAATCTTGCGCAGGTACCTCTGCAGAGTAGCTTGGAGAAGTAATATGCTTGCTTTGACAAATTACAAGGTGACAAGTCCAATCGAAACACCCATTGTGGCCAAGCCAAATGCTTAGACCTATTGACACTTGACAGATCTGGAGTTCTGGACATCGGGGAGTCTCTCCTAGAGAAAGAGAGAGAAATTGGAGTTGGCACTCTTCTTTTAGCTTCTCTAGCTACGTGGCCCGTCACTACCAACGTTTCTATTAGTCTGCATTGTCTCTACCCTCAAGTCCTAAGCAATATAGTATAATCTTACGCCAGTAGCCAGGCGAACAAAGAGCATAAGGTACATGGAGTTGTCAACTTTTACATCTCAACTCTCAAGCGGTACAATGTCGCAGGATGCTATTAGAGGTTGACCGATTGGCCTGATGGGATCTCTGCTGATATGCGTTGCAAACTTTTGCTTTTGCCCTGTTGCTCCGTCCTGAATAGCATGAATTTTAGTGCGACGAGACACTGTCAAAATTTAGCACCAAAATTCACTGTCAAAATTCAGCCAAATTCAGCACCAAAATTCAGTGTCTGCAACACGAAGACTGCAAGAAGGCTGCAATATGTAAAGCTGGCATGCTGTTCTATTTGTGGAACATTTTAGCTTGCGTATAACACACACCGTGTCACCGTGTGCAGTGTGTGTGAAACTTGCAATGACCATCGCAGGCTGCTCTTGCCCTGTCAAACTAGGAGTGTCAATCAGCACTGAAACATCATAGTTTCAGGACTCTCCGTCTAGGGATTTTACTTTTTTTTTTTTTTACTTTTTTGCATGTCGTTGGACCCCTACGGGTTTATAGTTCTGAAAGAAAGGATTTAGCTCTTTACAGTGATATGTACACAGGACGTCTGACGTGCCTACCATGTATGTTGTACATGCTGTAGCTACTCCATCACTAAATACTCTTGCAAAAAAGTTAGATTTTTGATGCCACACTGCTTGCCTAAGAATCACAGAAAAATTGCAAGACATTCCCCACTCAACAAATACAGTAACAGTACCACGAGCAAACCAAGTATTTTGTTTTTCTTTTTGAGTAAAAAACGAGCAAACTAAATCCTTTCGTCGAGATCGGACCTCTCGGGGGTATAGCCGTGAGATTTGGTGAGTCGGAAAAGGTCTTTCCTGATTCCGACCCCTACGGGGGTACGCTATTCTGTGACTGCGCGTTTAGTCTCCTTGCGAGTCCAACTTTCCTCGAGCCCCCGCCCGCAGCAGGGGTCCGGTCGAGGGTCGGCTCATCTTTATGATCGTTTTCCCTCAAGCGTTCTTTTCCGATAAAAATGGAGGGGCTGAGCCGTGCCACGATTTTCCTTTATGGACGAATCATGGCGCTCGGTGAGCTGTTAACGGGCTAGTCCTAATGGGGCCCGACATCCCGTTTGCGGGGGTCCGGCTTGGGTCAACTGGTGACCGACTCTAGATTCTCAGTGGTCAATCCATATAGTTCTCGGGTCCGTTCGACCGGTTCCGAGGGCTCTCCGCCTTTCTTCGAGGAAAAACCATGGATCGTATCTGGCCGAGACTCGAACGTGGGCCGGGATGCCCACGGTGCTCATGCACCCAGATTCTGGCCGCTAGCGGGCCCATCCCTTTCCACCCCTCACTCTAAAGGTGCCCGGAGCGGTTGATGAACCCGTCGGTTGGCCAACCTTTGAACTCCTGGGCCTAGACGGGCCGCAGGAGCCTTTTTAGCTCCGTATCCCTTTTACCTGTGACGGGTCGTGGCCCGTTCGGGGAGGCGAAACGTCCAGCGCGTTTTCCGAGGGGATGGCCATAGGTGGCGTGCGCACGCCCCGCGATGAGTCATAGTGACAGGTCGTGGCAGGCATGGAGATCTAGGCGGACGGTTGGTTTCCTCGCACCTGTCGCCCCTATAAAACCAAAGGGCTAGCCCTCCGTGTTTCATACGCACGCCCGCATCCCTACCTCCATAGCCACGCCGCCGCCGCCAATGCTTAGGTTTTCTGCCTCCGCATCTCCGCCGTCGTTGAGCCCGCATCCATCCGCCCCCACCTTGAATGGATCCGTGGTGCCGTTCCGACATCACCTTCCAGCGCATGGAGGGCCTTGCCCGTCGCGGTCTTCTCCGCACGTGGACCTTGACCGAGGAGTGGTTGCTGCCCGGCGACGAGGATTTGCCGTCGATGCCTGACGGCTGCGTGGTGTCGTTCGCCCACTTCCACGAATGTGGGCTCGCGACCCTCGCCCACAAATTTCTTCGGGGGCTGCTGCACTACTACAAGATTGAGCTGCAGCATCTCAATCTCAACAGGATCCAGCACATGGCGGTGTTCGTTGCGCTGTGTGAGGGATTCCTAGGGATCAGCCCCCACTTTGACTTGTGGAGGCATTTTTTTGCCGTCAACCTCTAGAAGAAGAGGGAGAAAAGCAGCAGGCACGAGCTGCACATGTCGATGGGGTGCGCCGGCATCCAACTTCGAAACAATTGGGTCAGCGAGTACCCGTCCATGTGGCTCTCGATGTCCAATAAGGGGTGGCACTCGCAGTGGTTCTACCTCAAGAATGACGCCGCCTTCCCTTCGCTGGAGTTCACCGGGCGCCTGATCGAAGAGGCCCTGGAGCAGTGAAGGAAGTGGGGTGTCCCAGAGAAGGACAAAAAGAAGATCCGAGACCACATCGCCGCCATCCACATCCTGAAGGAGAATGGCATAAAGGGGTTGAGCGTCATCGGGGCTTACCACGCGAGGAGGGTGGCGCCGTTGATGACGTGCGCGCTCCCGCTATACGCGATGGCGTCCGAGGCGTCGTTCGACGGAACAACACTTGCCGAGGGAATGCTCCCCAACTCTGAGATCGCGCAACACATCAAGGAGGTGATGGAGCCTTTGTGGGACAACACAGGTGCCACCCTTGACTTCGTCTACCTGGTGCCGGGGCATCCTCCGATGCGGCCGGAGCCAGGCTATGTCATCTTTGTAAGTTTCCCTTTCTCTTGCCTTCTCTTCAATTGATTTCCCGACCCTGTGATACTAACTTTGAGAAGGGCGGGACCAGTTGAGGGACCTCATCCTCATGGATCACCTAGCGCCGGTGCCGAGGGATTTGGCCGTGAGGACGGTGAATCGTGCCGAGGGCGAGCGCTGAGGAAGGCGAAGGAGGACAAGAAGAGGAAGAAACAGCGGAAGCTACAGAAGCGGGAATGAGGGGAGGACACCGGCGACGATGATGACGATAAGGATGGTGGCGACGACGAGGTGATGGAGGTAGAAAAATCGGTAGTCGACGATATCGAGTGGGACAACCTAGAGAATGAGGATGTGTTGACAGGCGTCGGTTCATCCTAGTAGGCGTCGAGACCCTTCCCATTCCATGGAGGAGAGGGCACATCAGGGGAGCCGGTGGGGGCGGGATGTACCACTGGCCTACCCTAGGAGCCAACAGAGGCAGGCGGCTCCGCCATCACACCCGAAGAGCCAAGGGGAGCGGGGCATTCCGGCAGTGTGCCCCCAGGAGCTGCCAGGGGCGATCCCCTCTGCCCAGGAGCAGGGTGCGGGCTCGAAATAGCCTTGTTCCGATGAGGCAGAGCAAAGGTCAGGGGGTTCGCCCCCCAAACACATCTGCTGCTCGACGGCGCTGAGGTGAGTTATCAATTCCTCTGTTTTTCCTGTTTTAGTCGGATTTCATCGTGACTTATGTTTTTCGTCCCTTGTAGTGTCGACAGGCAGCAGAATCCTTTAGTGTTGGCGCCGAAGAAGAGCATCGCCCTCTAATCGAGGCGGCAGCCGTCTACTGGCATCATGCTTGTTTTGAGCAGGAGCGGCGCCAGTGTGACCGCGTCACCGGCCGGTCAGGCGCTGCCCATGGTGGCGTCTATGCCCTTAGCGGGACAGGCGGACCCGGGCGTTCAAGGGGCGCCTTCGGAGGTCACGGAGCAGTCGGTGACGGTCGCGATACCGCTGTCGATGGTGGGATGGATGGGGCTGCCAACCGCGCTCATGGCGTCGACAGTGGTGGGCGCGGAGCAGTCAGTCGTGACCCTGCTGACGCAAGTGGAGGTGGCGGTGGCCGTGATAGACGGGTCATAGCCGAGCACGACCGCAGTGGCGCCTGAGGCACTAGCGCGACCCGTGACATCGACGGCCCAAGCGATGGTGCCTGGCATGGGTCGAACGGAGGGGGACGCGGCCGAGGGGTCCCCGGGTGTCTTGGTGTTGGGAGAGAGGTTGGAGTCCACACCGCTGACCCCTTCCATCGCTGGAGGGTGCATCCCAGCGGGGACATCATGGCGATAGGGGTCAGCGGTGCTTGGAGCTAGCGGGGAGTCATCCCTGGCCCTGACGTCGGTGGACAGCGGCTCTCCCTTGCGGGGCGAGCCCCTGCTCCAGTGGGCGGATCCATAGGATCCAACATTGGCGCTTTTTACCTTGGATGACACTACAGAGAGCATGGAGCAGGAGAGCCTCGATGTAGGGATCGTGTCTATGCTCCATACCCTGGACCACGCCGTGGGCGCATTGCACAACGTCGTTGTTCCCTTCGACCGGGTATACTTTTTGTATCCTAACCATCATCTTTCTGTAGTCCGTTATAGCTCGTAGCCGGGGGAAATCTTGGTTCTTTCGTCAACAGAAGGAAACCTGGGACTGCCTCATTGAGGAGGCGTGGCTATGCAGGGAGGTGACAGCTTAGCTTGTTGCCGCCCAACAGAGGGTGGCTGAGCTAACCCACCTCACCAAGGAGGTGGGCAATGTTCAGTCACAGGTAGCCGAGGCCCGTCGAGATGCTGACGAGGCTGAGAAGGCATTCGAGGCCCTATCGGCGAGGTCACAGAAGGATGATGAAGAAGCCGCCAGGGTCAGGAAGGAGTGGGATGAGTTACTCTAGAAGGACGCTGAGACCCACCAGCGGATCCTTGACCTTTTGGGCTAGGTTGAGATGGAAAGGGATCTGAAGCTGGGGGCCGAGGAGAAGCTCGCGGCCCTAGAGAAGAG